GATGTTGAATAATTAGAGCCACAGTCCTCACTGTCTCCCTTTCCTCTTCAGTATGTTATAAATCAATCTTAGTAACACCCATCGCATTTAGAGAAGGCTGTCTTTGCTAACTTATTTGTAAGATACACATATATAAACACTGCTTAACTGTTAGTATGTGAATTTTACTTAAAACACATACAATTGGCAGTCCTGTACATAATTATTTATATGCCAGCCACAAGTAATAGGAAGAACAGGAGACGATACTGGTGATCTCTAAGAAATTAAGGAAAAATAAAAAGTAAAAATTGAGGGCCCATGTGTGTCTCCATTAAGCACAAGAACAACTTAATTTCAACGAGAACAGGACTGATCCATCCCCCTGCATACACAAAAAGCCGTCTCCGTGCTCTGGAATTACAGCGAGTCCTGGCTCCTCAGATTCACCTCTACCAACTTCAGTAGGAACAAGATTTCATCCAGCAGTTTTAAGGACAAACAAATAGCCCAATGTCCTTGCATTCCTAAATGACTTAGGTATCTAGGATATTATTTTATGCTTCTGCATTTAACTTTCAATATTCATGAAAATACAGAAGTTAGCTCAGCGCTTCTATAAGTTTGTCATCCAAACAGCTAACACAGACACATTATCAGCTAATTTCAATTCATTGTTGCTCCATATTTCGAACAGCAATATTCAAAATGTATAAAAATGAAAAAGTATATTGTGCTTATGTAGTAACTCTGAATAAAGCTTAACAGCTCTCAAAACCTGCCATTGGAAGTGTGAAATATATTGGTAGTATAAGACCTTAACCTTAAAAACATGTGAAATATTAGTAAGCACTCATTAGGCATTTACTAAGCTCAAAGTTTTAAGTTTTGCTAAAGGGGAGAACTACAATTTAACAATCCATCTGAGAAGACGACACGGGGTAAACTCACTATAAACCTTCCTCTCTCTCTCTGTAGGTGTAAAAAAATCCACGTCCTCCAGTTCTGATACAATACAAGACGACATTAGAAACATTTCAATGACTTCTTTTGCACACTGGCAAAGCTGAAAGCTAATTTTACTCAGAGGACAGAAATAGCTGTATCTTACTCTGAGGACAGAAATATCTGTATCTTAACCGCACACAATTTTGCTGACAACACTTGAGATTATCAAAATGTTAAAGATTATTTTCAGTACTCATATGACTCACCAGTTTTTATTTGATTTGATAGTTTCTGAGTGGGAGCTTTCAGTTTTGCTTCGGGTCAGGATCCCACCACGGAAACGTCACCCTGCAAAATTCTGCACATGGATCAGTAAGAATTCAGAATTGAGTGACCGGTATCAAGCAACCATTGCTGCAGTGATATAACCCACACATTAAAAGCAGATTCTTATCACTGTTTTAAACAAATTTTTTTCTCCACCTTTCCTTCACATGGGAAATCCACAGGGGTAGCTGAAAGTTACACTACTTCCCAACAGATCTGAACAACAAAATAATTCTACTCAAAAAGATTTGGGAAATACAACCCTGCAAAACTTTACTGAAGCAGTCATGAGATACCCTTTCAAACAAAACGATTTAAACACAACTTACGCCTTGTTTAAATAATGGCCAAAAAAAAAAAAATCTATCCTTTCTGTTTGTCCAATTTTAGGGACGATCAAAATGCTACTGAATTTCTACTTTTAATATTGTTTTGCCATGGATTAATATTTTAACAGAGCACTACAAACCTCGCCTCGTGTACACTACGCAATATGAATGATGTTTCCTATCATCTCTTAACAATGTACGATCTTCTTCAACCTGTAAAACAACTAATGATTTTATTCCACCAAGAATTCAAATAGCATCTTCCCAAAATGTTATGATTTCTTTTGTAAATTTCTGAATGCAAGACTGTCTTAAGTTTTTCTGATGGAACTCCAGGTGGAATAAAGGCTTCCCTTAGAGCTGTCCTTTTTCCCCTTACATGACATTTACCCCTCAGCTAACATCACCTTCATCTTAACATTTCATTTGCATCAGTAGGTCGACTCTTCAGAAAGCTACCATTTTCAGATATAACTAACATAATGAAAATCTCATGATCTTATAAGAGGTTACATAGAAAATAATGAATTATCTTGTGTCACAAAAATAACCAGCTCCTTGAGTAGCTGGACAATATTTGTCTTGTATTTTTTGATTATATGTTTTAAGGAAGAGGCATGAAAAACTTCTGTCCTCTACACACCAGAAAATCTCCACGTATCTGGTGGGAACTTAACATTTTTGAGAACTTTCTCTTTGTCAAACTTGGTTCAAAAATTATTAGGCTGCACATCAGCAGCCTGATCACATAAGCTTCACTTCTTTGAGAAACGAGGCTGAAAGCAAAACACCCTAACAAACAATAACCAGCACAGAAACTACATTTACAGCTAGTTGTAAGAAATAAGCTGACACTCCAATTTAAGAGACAGATTAAGCATGCTTAAGCAGGATTTCCTTCAACCTGTAATTTAAAAAAAACAAAGAAAAACACATATGTGATGTCAAGCCCCAACAGAAGCTCATGACTAATGAAGCTGCAAATGAAGTTCTGATCACAGCAGTCATCCATATTTCTGCAGGAAAAAAAGCACTTAAAAACAAAAAGCAAGACTTGACTCAAACATCATACTACTGTATGAAGGTTCTTGAATAACAAAAAGTAAATGCTTCAGTAAGCAGATGGGAACAGCCTTCCTGCTACCCTCAGCTATGGTTACTCTTCCTTTTGACTCAAAGTCACAGAGACCCTGAGTGTCCTCAAATATTCTGATGCAGACAAAAATGGAGGAGGGGCAGATCTAATTATCAGTGGTATCACTGCTAATCAAACTAAGAACAGAAGCGCTAGTAGATGCATGTCCGCTTTGGCATGCCAAATGCTACCCCTCAGATGCGAGGAATTATAATCCTCGTTGTGCAAGACCACTGAGGCTTTTTAAAACTACATTTTAAAACTACACAGCACAGAAAATATGGTTTCTGTAAAATTATTCCATAACATCAATTTTAGAACTACACTTAGAAGAGCCAGATTTTCAGATGTGGAAGTCCAAACCGTTCCTCTAGACTCTTACATATTAAAATAAAAATATATCTGCAGTCACGGATATGAGTTAACAAAGCTCAATTTCAGTCACAATGGAGTTTTCACAAACTGAAAGCCTCCGAAGATTATATAGGTAGCAGGAAAAGGATATACCTGCATGAAACCTGAGCAAAAGTTAAGCAGCAGTCAAGAAATAGACTTTTAAAAGGTTGTTTTCCTTTTTTCTTACACACATCTTTTTGTTTTTCTTAAAGAACTCATTTTCTTACATTATCAGTGGCTAGCAGTACAAAAAGGATGGGAAGCAAGATGACAGTGAAATCCCCTCTTGGTTAGTTCTGTAATTCTTCAACAAGTGAGAACCTGCTTTCTTCTACATCCACTACTTCCTCGTGGCAGGATGACTGGAAGGCTTAATCTGTAGATACCAGTCAAATTACTCATTTTTTCTTTGACAGGGTTAAATTATTTTCTTATTGCACATATGGTGGTTAAATGCAGTCTCCTGTATTAAATCTGAAATCTCATCCAAAGCAACTTCTTTCTTTGCCTTCTTCCAACATCAAATTGGAAAATTAGACTTCCACAGATCCTTGATACCTAGTTAGGTATAAGATGAAGGATTAATTTGACAGTCTGTAGTAACACCATAGAGAAAAGGATTATTTACTAAACATTGAATAAGCTTGCGGGGGAGGGAAGAAAAACAGAGTTCTTTGCTAGGGGTTCCATGGAATAATATGTCCAAAGAAGCTCTACTTTTTACACCACAGGTGCTAAACTAGAATAACTATTGGAAGAGTGTTTCATAACAATTTTCTTCTCTGGTGTAAGATATTTAGCATCTCAAATGTTGAACTTTACTTCTGTGGCTGAGTTTCAAGTAACAGGCAACTACAGAATAACTGTTTTGTATTTTACCTCCAAAAGCATACACACACACACACACACACACCCCCCGAAAAAAAAAAAAAAGGAAAGAAAAAAATAAGAGAGAGGCAAAAAGAGACAAAAGACAAACTTCTTTCTTCTCATTACTCCGCTGCTCCCCCTTCTAATAGAGACTTTAGCAGAGCAACTTTTAAACCAACCAGGTTTTAAAGCACGTTACAAAATTCATCTCATTTTCTGGATAGCACTCAACCTCCCCTGGAATCAACTGCTTCTGCATAATGCCATGTTGCCTATTGATTCCACCAATTTGCACAGAATAATGCATCAATAAAACATGCAGCAGCTGAAAACAGTGCCTCCGTTACAACATTCACTTTTCCTCTAAGAGGCCCTACTTCAGCAACACTGAGCACAAAAGATCAACACTGTGTTCCAAAATACAGTTACAATACTAAAAGCAGATCTTTTGCCAAACATGTAAAAACAGAATACACAGATGAGGCAATAGTATTTAAGACATCCTTCTCATAGTTGCCTTTTATTACAAGTATCCCAGTACATCCCTGATTATGCTTTAGAACCGAAACGTTTATGTTTTTTCTTAGTGTTCCAGTGCCTTTATGCAAAAAAGAAATTTGCAGTGGTACTAAAATGCCCTAAAATCTGGAATTCTTTTCTATTGTAATTCAGATCCAAGTAAACATCACATTTCATATACAAATTATCTTTATTAACCTTACTAGAATTCCTCCCTCCTTCCGCTCTCCTCATGGCAAGTAAACAGTGATGTTATTGCCTAACATATCCAGGAGAATATCTCATAGAATCATAGAATAGTTTGGGTTGGAAGGGACCTCTAAAGGTCACCTGGTCCAACCCCCCTGCTGTGGGCAGGGACATCTGCAACTAGATCAGGTTGCTCAGAGCCCCCCCCAACCTGACCTTGCATGTTTCCAGGGATGGGGCATCCACCACTTCTCTGGGCAACCTCTTCCAGTGTTTCACCACCCTCAGCATAAAAACTTTCTTCCTTATATCTAGTCTAAATGTACCCCCCTTTAGTTTAAAGCCATTCACCCTTGTCCTGTCGCAACAGGTCCTGCTAATAATGCCCCTGCCCATCTCATAATGGAAAGCTATCTGTTTACAGTCTAAAACTCCTGATTGGCAAACAATTTTGACAACTTGCACGTATCTACAAGATAATCCACAAAGGCTGCCTAGATGTAGCTGTTGTTGAAATAGTTGATATTCCAAGAGAATGATGACTGAATCGGAGCTGGACAGAGAAATCCTCAAGAGTCACTGAGTAAAAGGCAGCATGTAGACATCTCAAAATTTCTATGCATTTTATTGATTTCTGAGTTCTCCAGGTCTTGAACTAAGGTATTTACATGCTGAATTGGTCTAGTCTTGAAACTACTAGAAACTATTTGTATACTTATTATGATAGTTAACCAATATTACCTAAAACAATGCATATGATGAAATGTTGGCTTCATCAAATCTAATTTTTCCCCAACTAACTTCAATGAAATGAGATTTCTCTTAGCAAAGGAACCCTTAAAGCAAGAATTGCCATACCAGATAACTATGCTAGTCTTACCAATAGCCTGAAAAACACCAGTAGTAACATTTTGCATTAAAACAGCAAGTAGGAAGAAAATGAAGGTTCTACATTTGTTTAAAGGATCTTTCTAGAAAATACTATCATTCATTTATACAGAGTGACAGGGTTAGTTTCTTGTAAAGTTGATTCACCTTCTACTTGATATTGTAACTGCATGATTCTACTGGATATAGTAAGTGCATGCTGGAACAAGGTAGCTGAACCTATCATTACAATTTATATTGCACATCTAACTGGTGATATTTAGACAACAATTTTTAATTACTAATATATTAAACCCAGATGTTTCCATCTTGTAACTGGCCAAAACTTCCATGAAGCTCCGGTTGCTTGAGTTTAATCACTGAAGTAATTGAAAGAGAAGATCGATGCAAAGACTGCGACAGCAGCTGCTATTACCACACCTAAAATAACAAAGGAAATGCATTCAGTGAGTGGCAAGGGCAGCACCGTCATCAGCAGCTAGGGTGTGGAGGGCAGGGTCAAAATGAATGACAAGCGGGAGGAGAAACAGTAAGAGCCACCCCAAAAACTATCTACCACTGCTAAACCTAAATCTAAAGCTACGATGTCAGATAATTAAATTATAAAAGCTCCACATGACATTTCTAATCAGAGCAGGATCCTTCCAGAAATCCAGTTGACTGCATAATTCTGTAGTACCTTAGCCATGTGCTGGCCCATAAAATAATGCACTGACTCTGCACTACTGCTTAATTCTAGGAATCAGACTAGGAAAACTAACAAAAATTTTGCGCTTTAAGGAACTAAAGCTATTAAGTTTTTTTCTTTTCTGCGTGGCACTATATCTACTCTGTAAGTCTCTTTGTAACACAACCGTCATTTTCCTAGTAACATGCTTGTTACTGATGCAGTTGAGAAGATAACACACAAAAAACCCAAAACATTTGAGTGATGATTCAAGGGAAAACATTTTTACATCCAAAGTAAACACATATTTACTGCTACTACCCTTTAATCCTCCAGTTACCATGTTCTACTTCTAAGAATTAATAGAAAACAAAAGTTATTGTTTTGTTGACTAAAGTGTAACTGTATTTTAATACGAAGAGACAGTCAAAACTCACAGCAAAGAGGACTGTACTAAGTGTAGACAGATGTACGAGAGCTGGATGAAGGAGTATCATGAGGAAGTTGTATTTGAAAGAAGAGTTCTGTGGCTGGTGTTCCCTGAATTATTGAGGCTGACAATTAGCACCCAAGCCTGTATGTATTTGTCAGCTTCGGAAGAAGATTAGCGAGTTACTAGCCAATTTATGGATGCCTACTTGACAAAGCCATTCAACTGTGTTATTTTTTTTTTTGAAGTACAGAATTATAGAAGTGGTGGCTCTCCAAAAAAGAAATAAAGCTACACGAGCCTTTTGTATTGACTTGTAGGCTGAACAAATGCAAACACTGGTGGTGTTCCAATAGCGAGCTGTGGTTCTTTCTTCCCCAGAAACACCCTGAACCTACAACACTGAAATGGGGACTCATTTTGAAAGTATTCTATTAGTCTCACCAGTTTATTAATAATGCTGTGGAAGCTAACAGTACTGAAAGGGCCCATTATAGTTTCTGGATTGCCATAGCAAAATCAGGGAAGTAACGTACCCATATTTTGTTGAAGTTTCAACAGCAATGTTCCTTTTGTCAGTTGTTTCTGTTGCGTGTCATCCATGTTGTCAGTAACTGGACAAATATTAACTGCATGGAAATCAAGTGCAGAAGTAAATACCAGGTGAAAAGCTAACAGTTGTGTTTTACAGTTGAATTAATGCAAAACGGCAAGAACTTCATATAAACTTTATAAAGTACATTTATGGTAGAAAAAACAGTTTATTGCAGTAGAAATGGTACAGTACTATAGTAAACTATTCTATATGGCTGGAAGAGTAAAAATAAAGAGAAAAAAGACATTTGGGAAGGAGTTCCTCTTCCAAAACTCATTTTCCACACCCTGGTTCCAGAGTAACATACCCAACCCCCTTTACATAACCTCGGGAGAACTTGACTACTCCGAGAGGAAACCACCAAAATGAACCATTAACCACCTTCCAAGATCAAAGTTTTCCTTTCAAAGCCATTTCTCTAGAGTTCAGGCTACATGCAAAACCCACTGCCACTAAGAGAGTGAGGCCAGCACCATTTCCTTACCCAAGAGCTATAAATGCTTTTTTTCGAAGCACAGAAATTCCTTTAAGATCCCCTAAAAATACACTTTCACAGCAGGCATAGAGGACACATTCCTCTTTTGGAACAATTACTAAATCCTTAGACTGCTCAGCCAAGACGTGAGAGAGCTTGACTATTTCCAGACTGGTAGGATTCAAACTCGTATCTATTTCTTTTCCAAAGATTTCCCTAATCACTTGGCTATATCCAGCTTGTTAGAGAGGGGGATGAGAGAAAGGGGGGGCTTAATCTTGAGTCCTGTAGCTGAACTTGTTAATTTGTCCCATACAGGGCGAGCATGCTTTGCACTACACAGTTCAGTGATAAGGCTACTTGATGGTGGTGGGCCAAAGGTTTTCAATTTGCATTCCTGTTTCCAGGATAGTTTGCTAAGGCATCGCTTGTCAAAAGTTCTGACTACAATTCAGTAGCTACTATTGCAGACATCTTCTGGACAAGTAAACTGTAAGAGAAAGTGTTTGCGCTATTGCAGTGAGACCTGGACGTCTTTGGAAAGAACAGAATGGGCATGCCGAGATAAGAAAAAAAGACTAACAGATTGTTCTTGTTCAGAAGATGAAGAACAAAAACCCACAGCAGTTTTAGCAGTCCATGAAATACTGATCTAAAGAAAAACAGATCTCCCATTTCCAGAGTGGGGCTGTCAATCACCTATAAACTACAAATTATATAGTTGAGTAATAAGGCACATGCCTTGTATGATTCATATGAAAATGATTCATGGAAAAGTACTTTCTCTATCATACTATTAGCTATGGGGGAAATGTATAATCTAGATGTGTAATCAGAAAGGTTGTTTCTGTCATCTAAGATGAGTCATGTGCACGATTGTCTTCAAAATCTTAAGTCAAACTTGCACAAGATCTGTTGTTACACAAAAGCACTCAAACTAGACATTTAGGACCTCTCTAGCCATTTTTATCCCTGAACCCACTGATTTTGCATAGGATGTACTACAGCAGAGCAATTAATAACTGTCCAATATGAAACTTAACAGGAATGCAAGATATATAGATACACACATACATATGCATACATTAAGCACAAACATTGCTTTAAGATCTCTCTGCAAGCTGCACATACATGTAAAATAAAAATAAGGACACAACATTTCAGTCCAAGGGGTGCTTTTTTGAAGAGGAATTATCACATATCTCTGAAGCCCACTGGTCCACAATGAGGCCGTGGTTTCATCATTATTTTTTCTGTGCAGAGGAAAACACACCCTCATCCGCCTAAAATATGAGCAGAAATCTTCAACTGGTTTAAATGAATTATTAATTGATGCAAGATAGCTTTTTAAATAAGTACCTTAACTAGCACAGTAAGAGCACCACACTCTCTCCAAACTACTTAATAGAGTTTTCAATTCCCTAAAATAACATAAAACTTTTAGAGAAGTTGACCACTTTTCTTGGGTCACCTTTGAAGTCTAGAACCAGCAGGTTTCTTTCTGCTATAGTTTTGATGAGCAAGTAGGATAGTTTGTGCCCTCTAACTTTATGTTTCTTTGCACCTTCATAAGAACTGTTGCACTTTTCTGAAGGTAACTTTTGAAGCTGCACGAAAGAAGCGCTCTTGAGCTATTTACTTACTGAAGGCATTTATGCCAGACTTGCATTTGAAGCAGCTGTAGTATAAATCACACAAAGAGTTTTCAAAAGCAGATGCTTTCTAGTACCAATTATATGAATCCTTAATTCTTCATTAATTCTTCAATTTGCTAACAAAGATGGGGAAGTGATTACCACTACTGAAGTCTTACTTATGTTTATCCACTCAGGGTATTTAACACACCACCACCACCACCACCACCAAGGAGGAGCAGGGATTTAGTAAAGCCAATCACAAATGCAGAGCTTTCAATTGCTTGTATTAAAGCACTAAATACCTTGAAACTACAGTGTTAGAGCTATTTATATCTTTCAATTATAAATAGGTCAGTTTTTACTTTCTATTTTCCATGTAACAATTTTAAAGCATGACCCAGTAGTGACCTCACTGGAGAGTTGTACAAGGAATCAAGAGAATAAAACTGGAGGATACAGCAGCAGGGGCTGTACTAAGTAAGCACATACAACCGACCTTCCCAAAATACCTTTATTTCATATGTTTTGACTAGAAGCTGCTTAAAAATAAATCTTTTGGCTATACTGATTAGATCCTCTTCTTCTCAAGAGCATATTTTAAACAGCAACAAAAAAAGAAATTATTTGAAAAGCCTGCTCATGTTCTTGAATTTTAAACAATTCTTTTTATCAGCAAACTTTCCCGAGAACTTCACTATGGATAGCACTTCCAGTTAATTCAAGGTTGGTGCCTAAGACCACAGGAATTTTGATACAAACAGAAAGACTAATGTTAAAATTCACTACAAACCAATTTTTATACCATTACTGAATATTGACTATTATTAATAAAGATAGCGCTAAGCTTTGAGAAACAACAAATGCTATCCAAATTGGAATGATGCATTGAAAAAGCCTTTACACAGGGGAAACCTCAAACTCTCTTTATGTCACAAAAACATGTTTACAGTAATACTTAGACACTTCATACCAAAGTACCAATAAAAATAAAATTGCAAAATTAATGCTTTTTCTTACAATGCAGAAAACTTTTCTTACACAGTTAACAGGTCTAATTTCTAAAATGGCCTTCCTGGCATTAATAAAAATGTATAAATAACTTGTGATTTTAATAAACCACAAGTTAATAATGCCATAACAATAATTATCAGAATCAAACAGCCTTGTGCTGATATAGCATTGTTACTGTCATCGCTATTAACAGAACCCATTCTACGGACAAACTTTATGGTGTTCACTGGGACAAAGCCAGTCTCAGGTTTTTCCTGAAATCCTCTTTGTATGTTTTCCCCTTTCCTCTGCTATACACTTACTTTATTTTTTTTTTTAAAAAAAGGAAATAAATCCCACACACCTAACTCTATAACCAGCAAGCTAGAAGAACACACAAACTCATTTTGTGAGCTACCTGGACATCATTTTACACGTATTAATGGCATCAAATCCATATTAATGGCATCAAATCTTTGTGATGCATTGCTGTTAGTCTAATCGTGCTTTCTTCCTACCTCCAGATCATACATCCTTACATAAGCAATAAAGCTAAACTGAATAATCTTCTCTCTCTCCCTCCCACGCCTATCTCCACTGCTACAACAATACTGATTTGCTTCCCTAAGTTATACTAATTCCTTAAAGCTGAGTAATAATTAGCTTTAAGACTATTAAAGTTACTCTTATAATGCAAGAGAGATTTTTTTACTGGCTTTGTTGAGGTTCTTGATCTGTGTACATCTTTTACTTCTCGAGATAATGAGTCAGGTTTAGTTAAAACCTGGGAAAACTGATTCATTTAGAAAGACGTAAGAATTTATGGTTAGCTCTGAAATTAAGAAAGTCAGAAAACCCTCCAAGTAAACGAGTAGGTCAAGCAGGATATCAGTAGTCACAGTTCACCCTACACAGCAAGCTCATGCCTATGTTTTCCATTTTTTGTCCCTAAACACCAACATCAAAAAGTGTCCAAAGTTCTTATCCAAGAATCAGTGCTATTTTTTTTAAAAAATCGAATTATAAAACTGTAACCTGTAGCTCATATTCACATTGGTGGGGGAAAAAAGGGAAGAAAAGAAATCTCTTCCATAAGATCACAGGAAGTATTATTAAATGCATTTCAAGCTACAAATTTGACTCCTACGTTGAAATCAAAGCCATATGGGGGGGACAAACAAACAATCAAACAACAGGAAATTATATAAACCAGAAATATTCAGAAAGTCAGTAACTAGATTATAGCAGAATATCTGTATTAAAAGGAATATAACAGTCTCATAATCAGATCATAAACTTATAAGACATTCAGTAGGAAATGAAAAGCTCTCTCAATTTTCTTTCCATTTCGGGTAAAACACAAAACTTCAGTTTTGGGCACTGCATTTGATACATATATTACAACACTCAGAAGAAGCAAAGGTACTTCGTATTTTTGAAAGAGTCAGGTTCTAGCATGAGAACTTCCTGAAAGACATATTAGACTATATCTGTATTTTTTAATATTTAGCGAAAAAACAGTAGATTCGACTAAAGCTCTCAACTTCTTATTCTAACTTATTCTAAGCAGTAGCAGAACTATTCAGCTCTTAAACCAGCAAAGTTGACCTACTGAAAAAGTAACCAGAATATAAAGCTTTACAGGTTTTTCTTGCAGTTTATTTGCTAATATAGGATAATCCTTAATTCATGTGCAGAGTAATGTATGCAAACCTTGTTCAGCTGAACCATAATTCATGAGCTGCAATCATGCTTGCACAGATAATACAGTGAAAGAGCAAAATATTTGAGAGAAGAGAGAGCTCTGTTACAAGTCAAATACAAAAACTGCAAAGAACCCTTACCACTTTCCACAAATATATTTAAACTGTAATTAGATTGATATAAACCCTTAGAGCTTGGTATGAAGTAAGCCAACTTTAAGCACATCCATATCTGGATAAAACTGGCCTGTGCCATTAGTCAACATTTTCATAATCCGTGATGCAGTCTATCCTGGTTCTCAGATACTGTATTTACCTGTGTTAATTTCCTCTCCTATATGGATATCTTCAGCTTGCACAGATTGATCCAACATCTCAACAAAACGTTCCTGAATTTCTCCAGTGGTCTCATCACCAAACTTATAATCACTGAGCATCACACTGGATCCAGCAACGGGGACAAACAGTCTTTGAGGTAAGACATGATACTCCCTCTCAAAATCTAAAGGAAAAGGGGGGAAAAATACTATCCAAATAAAAGCCTTGCAAGTTATGATAAGATTCCTCATTAATCTCTGACCGTAAGATAAAGCTATTGCAAAAGAACTGCTCAAGGCTTCCATGTAAAAATCCTATTTTCAGGCACGGCTTGTTTAACTGTTACTGTTTTATGAAAGTTTTGGCTGCTATTATACTGATTTATGTTCTTACATTAGTCTCTCCAGAAATACCCAAGAGACCTCCAAAACAGACCATAAAATGTTAAACAGACCTTTTTTCATGTTTAGAATGACTAGCAAAAGAACTCTGGGAAAGACTGCAGATAAGAGTGTACACAGAACAGCATATGATTTCAACACCACAAAGGATACCAAACACTTGGCTGCTTTATGCCATACTTAAAGCCACAAAGTATGGGTGCCACCTAAAGAGGAAACTGAAAACTGCATGCTATTTAAAACATCAAGTTTAAATCACGCAGGTTGGATAAAGTTGGCTAACACCAAAACAAACCACATTATCCTAAAGTAAATGGTAATCCTGAACATGAATCGTTTTTCCTTACACAATCAACCTGTTTCCGTTTCTTTTTTTTTTCCCCTAAAATCACTCCCAAAGATAGTATCTTTTAAAAGGCTTCCCTTTATGTAAGATCTTCAAATTGATATTTCAATTAACTAATAATATTTGGTTTAAAAAAAACCAAAAACAACACAACAAGAGGATAAGTTGATACCATTGCACTGACCCAAAGAAGTTTAAAGAATCACCCAGCATGAGCTAGGAGATCTGGTCTCAGCGTATACCCCCTTAGTTTTTAATATAATCACGATAGGAAGTTTTATTTTCATTAGATCAATTTGCATCGTGTTCTGGCCTCTGCATGGTGCTCTGTTAAATTCAAGCTAAGGCAATTATTCATGGTGTTGAAATAAGATCTACTTCTTTAAATGACACAAACCTTGTAAAATGGTATTTCATGAAGAGAAGTAAGTTCAGGGGGCAGAGACAACACAGATGATATAATTGTATAGTTACTTAGGAAAAAAAAGTCAGGATACTTCTTCACACCATAATCACCACAGACAATGCCATATTTAATTTAATGGAGATGAACTATTGAACTTCAGAGCTCATGTCCACTAGCATTTGTAAGATAGGTGATAGAAGAACAGGGAAGGCCATGTCCAGCTTGTTCTTTGAAACCTACTAAGTTTTAGCATACTTCAATACTAATAGGGATACCATAGAGTGATTTAAAAACAAAAAAGAAAATTAAAAATGTGGAAGTTACAGTTAGAACTTCAGTGACAGGAGTTTCAACTACAGAATTTTTTAAAAATCCAAAGTTTCCGATCAGTGAGAAAGAAGCTGAAATTGCATTTTGTGGTCACGAGAACTGAACACAAACTTTGTGTGAGAGCTGTGATGCCAAATAACATATCTGACAAAAATTCTCACGATTTAAGAAAAAGTCAAGGCTGCCAAATAGAAACTGTGCCATCTGCTTTTTGTTCTGCTCTAACCATACTGGAACTTCAGTACACCAGCACAATTTTCTACAAGAACCAAAATTCACTGCAAATATAAGCTGTTTGTTTATTCTCTGAATTCCTACTTTTTCTGTGAGGTCCTTCATTTATAATGAGATCTTCAAATAGTATTTCACAACGATCACTCAATGTGTTTATTATGTCTCTTTTCAAAGCCTGCAAGGACAAAGCAAAAACATCAGTAATATAAAAGCCATTTGCAAAGCTTTTGACTAGTAAGAAACAACAAAAGAAGTCCTTCACAGGTTTAACCCATGTTGAAAGAATAGTTTTTCCAGAAAATAAAAACTCTAAAGAGAATTTTAAAAAGTCCAATAAAGAGAAGCTAAAGTCAGAAGAATTAAAATCAAAAAAAGAAAACAACAAAACAAAAAAGAAAGGCTGAGGAAAATTTTAGTATTGTTGGAGTAAGAATGGACAACTTCCAGACATTACTATTAAAAACAAACAAAAATAATCACAAGACATTGACTCAGTAAGGAAAAAAAAAAATAATCACTGAACAAATAAATCTGTATTTTCCCACTACACATACAAAAATATAGTCTGTTAATCTTATTAAGAAAATTTGTCACAGCCTAATCACTTTGACAGTTTGTGCAAAGATTCAGAGACCAGCCTTAGCAACAGAAGACATAATCTGCTAAAAGTGAAAAAGGAACCGAATCCATCACACATGCACACAGATGGTTTCTAAAACAATCCATATGTTCAAGGGGATGAATATTTTGACCCCAGTTTAGACAATCTCATTTTGGCAAAGAAAAGTCAGTATGACAAATTTCATCTATTTCAGAAAAAACATTTCTGATGAACTAACAACCTTTTCACTACCTGAATAGCTTCTTTAACTTTTGGCTTGTTGTTATGTATGTAGGCTCTGCATTTCACAGCACCTTTGAGATTTATGGAAGCACTGCAGACCTGGACTGTTGCTGTTGATCTATGACTTGAACCCTGGGACTGAAAAATAAACACGTTTCAGTTTTATCCTGTTACCAAGGCACTTGCAGCATGAGTAACAAAAACAGAACTAGGAAATTAACAGCATATCTTAAGATGTTTACATATAACCTGCTTTCCCTCATAATTTCTATCTCTAAGGTGGTTTTTTTTTAGTTTTGTTAGTTAAGACTGAAAATCTCTCTCCTTTTCCATTATGTAAAATGTATTTACTTTTCCAGACATTCCATTTCTTGTGATTTAAATATTTGTGTCTATAAGACTCCTAAAACTTTTCAGGCAAGTGGCTTGTGGCTAATATTAGTACTGCAATCTAGAAACCTTTTAAGATTATTTTTTTAAACGATGAAGTTTGTATGTTTACTGTATATTAAGCATAACCTATGGTATCCTGAGAGTCATCCCATCAGTCAGTACTAAATTATAAATGCGGTCACATTTAAAACTATATCAAACTGTTGCCTAGAAATATTCACCCTAATTACCAAAACAATGAGTGTGCTGCATAAAGCACTCTAAGACAACACCTGGAAACACAGGGATGCGTAACTTCCACATGAACTGCATAAACTACTTCTGCCAAAATAAAAAGCTTTCCTTTCTCTTAGCAATTAACCATTGGAACAATGTTAACAACGAAATAAGCTGAGATACTCATGAAGTCTTTAAAATGGCATTTTATGCATTTCTAAAAGTTTTGCTAAACATAACTTTAGAGAAACCACAAACTACCTGACAAAACAGGATGGCCTGTGCTGTGCAAGAAGCCTACAAAACAATGCCTGGACACATTTGGATCTTAGGACCTAGACTGGGGCACCTAATTCAGGGTGCTAATTCAAGTCAGCATAACCTCTGGTAGAGAGGAAACTCCCGACACAGATCCGACAGCTCCAGATTATGATTCAGCTCACAAGATCTGTACCTTAATCCAAAACTAGTGACGGAGCTTCTGACGAAAGCATTTAAATAAATGTCCATAGCTAGCCATGGCAAGTTGAAGCATGGGGGTGATTCTGAACTTCAGAATGATGCAAAGTCACCTTGAAATAAATGTACACAAGTACGTACAGGGATCCTACTATCAAATGAATTAGTTTGCGGGACTTCATTTCTATAACCAGTTTTTCAAATTCTCCTTGAAGCTGTACCGTGCAATTCTTAGACAACATGGTTATCACAGCATGAGAATTTCCAAGGACATGAAATACACAGATCTGTCCACAGTTTCACAGTCAGTGTCCATGGGGGAATAAAAAGTCTTAGGACAAAGTAAGGTGGATTTCTAGACAATAACTCAGAATGTTCTTTTATTTTTTATTCTATTTTATAAGATAGCAGAGAGGTTATACTTTACAAACCACAAAATACTTACCAGCTGTGTCAGAACCTTGACGTCAGAAAACTGAGTGCTGGATTGAGTATTTCCTCTTAACTTTTTCTGAGGGGAAAAAAATTCTTTGTGTCGTGAAACAGGAAAAAAAATCTCCCCGAATCAAAATCTCCTCACTATGGTATAAAATGTGCCGTAGTTTATAGTTTTTAAGAGAGAAAAATGGCACATAGAAAAAAGCCATGAGAATATAATTACAAAACTAAAAGAAGAGATGAATGCATCAGTCAAACAATGTGTTTCCACTCTTTGTTAAACATTGAGACATATGTAGGTCTTAGAAATCTCATCATCTACATTCATACCCTACTCATGTTCTTTAATGAGGAGACAGCATACAGAAAATTTTTTAGTCAGACTACACATATAATTATTGCAGTCGCATTGCCAGAGGAAGAAGAGGCAATTTGCAGCAATAAAGATGGGAACGCAAGCAGTCCTGCATTATTAGTTACCTGAAATTGGCCAATTAGATCAACAAATGTTGTACAGAAGACACCTCAGTCAATGCTTTATCACACTGGAGGTTCTATCTACGCATCTATTAGAGTTCAATTCCTTGTTGTCTGGTACTCACCTGCCCTTCCAGTAGTTCTGTATCATCATCTTTAACTTGTCCATTGATCAGAAAAACACTGTCTTCTATCTGTTTTGACCATCGATTTAATCCAGTCTTTAAAAAAAGTGAAACCACAAAAATCTCATAAGAAAGAGGAAAGAGAATTTCACTAAAGGAGGTGGACAGTATCATGCTGAAAATTATAGAAATACATGTTTCAACAGTGACTCCGAGAGAGTTTTAAAGTCTCTGAAAAATCTGTCTATATGTTTTTCCAAAGCCAACTCAAAGCACAGCAGAAGAAAAGCTATCCGTATTTTTTATACTATGAATGTTTCATAGTAACTTCAAGTTACATTTAAAAGAGGAGTAACTGCCGAACATTCTCTGGTGATTAGTCCTACTCCTCTACTCAAATCTTTCTCTCTCATTTAATTTTCAGCAAAAAAAGTAGTGTAGAGACCAACTACAAAACTGGTGCAGCTGGCTAGTTACCTTGGTATTCTTCTCCAAGTCATGGTTGGGTGAAGTAGCAAGAAGTGGAATGTGAATATTAACATTTACTGTGCAGTCCAAAGCTAACCAGGAAGCAGACAGAGCACTCTGATATTTCCAATCTGCTGGTTTAGCTGAACTCTGAGAGCAGAAATAAGCAATAAAGCATCTATACAAAATACTGTATAATTCAGAGATTTTTTTTTGAAACATTACATGTCATGCATTAAAAGCTGTATATGACACACAGGATGATGAGCTTACCTTTGGATCTTGTACATCATAGGTTCGGCAAACTACTCTTTGCTACTTAAAGAAAAAGATCCAGTGGACAGCAAAAAACAGAGTAACAATAATTTGCAATTACTTTGTCCTTTACTTAACTTCTTTGTTGAGCTAATTTATGCTCTGAAGAAAGTTCTCACCTTTCATTAGTGTAAAAAAGTGGAAAAATATTTAACTGTAAACTCCAACTATCATAGTGATGCTGTCCTATCTCTTACAAATGTATTACGATCAATAGGTATTCACAGGGAGAACCACCAATGCACCAATTTGCAATTTGCCCTCGTCTCTCTCACCTCTCTAAAGGAAAACTGCTTTCTCTCCTTGTATTATCTCATTATCAACAGACCCAGCATTCCTCTGCAGCACTAGTACAGATCCCACATGCCCACTACTTCCCCACTCCCATGTAAGTATCATTGGTAACAGCAAGCTAAAGAAGCTATACAGTATTTTAGACGTTTTCCTCAATTTATGCAAATCAAAACTGACTGGGGAAGGCATAATTTGATGCCACCACACACACAAACCTAACAGTAAGAAATTATGGAAATTCTGCAAGGATAAGAAGGTCAATGGTCTTACTCATGGCTAATCAGAAAACTTCATGATTTCAACTTACTGATCTATGCCTATCTGATCTCAAACAGCTTTCCCCTCCCAATTTATCATTTATCAGAAATAACTACAGAAACAAGGTTGGGGTAGCAGCCTCAAGCAATAAAGCTTGCTCATAAAGGATACTTCTTTGTAGCAGAACAAATTTGAAGAGCTGCTCTGTCTGAGACCTCCTCCTCAGCAGGTTTCCAGAGCCTTCTTTTAGTCAAGGACTTCTCCACTGAGAAGATTAACTAAAGATGAAAAAAGTGTAATGAATTTTTCCACAAAAATAATGCATTATAATTTCTGGAAAATAGTCTTGCACTAAAGTTCTAAGGCCGGTTGATATCATAATTATGTATAAACAGGAAATGCAGCTTACATGTCACCAAAATGTCATGTCAAAAGAACATTCAACAAAGATTCATGGGCAACTACTCCAAGGCAAAAGTTGCTTGTGAAATCTTAATTCAGCTCCCTTATAAACTGAACCAAGCAACGTTCACATATTCAACCTGTACGCTTGCCTCCCTACAAAAATATTACAGCTTTATGCCTATCAGTTGAGGATCCAGAAAAACAGCTGTGCAAAGTAGCTACTAATTAAAAAAACCAAATTTTAATTCAGGAATCACTGATCACCTGGACATAGCTCACCTTTTTTTGTTGGCTACTAGTTTCAGTAATCACAACTGAGAGGCTGTTGCATTGCACTGCCAAAACTGAACCTTGGACCTTAGGCTTCAAAACCTAGTCATGTTTAAATCACTTATCATGCCTGCCGTATGAAAACGGTAAAATGAACCTACATCTACAGAACAGAAACTGAATGTGGCAGTAGATGCCCCAATACTGTAATAAAAATGCATTTTAAGTCTGTCAGACAGTAGCACGTTTTAAGTAGTTTTTAAATATAACCCCACACACCTAAGTCAAATACCACTAGTTCTATACAAGATATTCCTTTTAAAGGAATCAGAACTATAGAACTTTCACTATTGTAAACATCTCTAATCTGATCAGTTCATTCAGACAAAAAAGCTAACATGCTACCACTACTAACAACTGTGCCACAAGGATTTAGCTTAATATAAACCCTGAAAATGTTTTCCTTAAGCTAGAATGTCCACTTTCAGTAAATACAGTAAGACTTGCCATTGCAGTAGCAAACATCACAAGAAACAGAAAGTTAGCAAATACAAGCTGTAGTACAGTCCCACAGGACAGTGATTTCTGAGGTTTCAGTCTCAAAACCATACATCAAACCAGAACATTTGTGCTTTTAGAAATAAAGCAACAAAACAACCATATATACTCAAAACAATGATAGAAAATTATTCAGCTACACACCTAAAGCTATTCCTGTCTTTCCACCAGGAAGTATACTTACCTTGCGTAAAGCATTTTGACTATCTTTTGACAGTTCTGGAGTTGCAATAATAAACACACCAAGAACTAGTAAGCCTCCAGGAAGCATTCTAGAAACCTTAAAAATAGAAATGAACACGTATTAATAGGAATCAGAGATCTAGCAACCATGTAACTTGATATATCAAAAATTTCTAATGAGACAAGTATGCATCAAGAGCAGAAATGAAATAAGCAAGACTGTTTTTCACTTACAGGTTCCTCTGAAATGTAGGAACACAGTACCTTACAAATTTTCTCACTTCAGTCCTATCAAGTCTCTGTTTCATCATAAACTTTGAAAACAATACAGATATTTTGGTTTAAAATATCTGTGCCTAGCATGCTTAGGAAGGTTCTTTTACTTTGAGAAAAAAGCTTGAGATTACACAAGCGATGACATAGTTTTTGTAAGTCTTATTTCCCTTCTGTTCCTCCCACCCCCTTCATTAACTCATACTGTGCTACCTGACTGGCATGTGTAGTTATCCATTCTTCATCAATGGATGCCAGTTTTGAAGGACTGATGCCGTCTTCCTTCTGCTCTTCCTTCGGAGGTGTTCGAACAGCCCAAATTACGTAGTCTCTTTGCAGGGAACACTTTCAAAAACATCAATATAAGCAAATACACCATGAGGTTGATATCAAGTCTGAAAATATACTGTGTAATATAATAACTGTGAGGTCTGCTTTACAGTAGGTATCATTAAACTCTATAGTAATCTGTTCCAAAATTAATTCCTTCATGAATTTGCCTTTCCCTTAAAACCTTATTTAGTGATAAGTTTTATCTGCAAGATTTTAATTTCTTTTCTGTGTGTCATATCTTTCACAAAACAATTTTTAAAATACTTAAGTAAGTTGGTTGACACTGCGAACCCTTTACAGAAGTCCCTTCTGGTCATACTACCACCCTCCGGCACTATACAAGCTCAATGTGATGTTAATGGACTTATCCCAGACGATTAAGGCCAAGGCAGTTTTCCCCTATTAACATGAATGAATGGAAGAGACTTCAAATATTTCACACTTACCTGCCCTATTAACAGGCCAGTGACATAAGGCTTTAATTTTGTGCTGAGGTCTGAAAGATACTGCCCAACAGCTTCCTCAACAAAGTAAGTTCTACCCATTGCTGCAGGTTTAACCTTTTGTAGTTTCAACCTACAAAACAAATAATGTATAGTCAAAGAAAGTATATATACTACACCGGTTACCGACAAGAACAGGCTCACACAAAGATCCTGCATACATTAATACTTTATCTGTCAACAAAGGTTAGTTAAGTAGCTTTACGATCTGCAAGTTTGTTTTTTTAAATGAAAAACATAACTCTCTCTAATAGAGGAAGAAGTATGTGACCCCTATTTGAAAGAAAACTATTTTAAATACCTGTCCCTGAAATGACATGGCAAGTTGTGCAAGCAAATGCTAGGAAAAACACATCTCCAAGCAGGAGTTTCTTGCTGCATCATGTTTCATTGGAGGCCAGAACGTAAAGTGTGCATTTTTGTATTCACATTCCTCTTTGAGGGACTTGCTAAATTCCACACTTGTACTTAAACGTGCCATGTACAATTTTCATTCCAATTCCTAAGGCATTAAAAGTACAGCATCTGTGGACTATCCAAAAGGCCATCTTTACAGCTCCCAAGGGTTGCCTTATGAATCCAGGACATGGGGACTGCCAGACACTCCTCCCTTCCATGCAGACCTATTCTGAAAACGGCTTCATGCATTGAAGACTTTCACAAAAATTAACTATGAAAACGCTGGAGCCAAAGAGCACATGGTGATGAAGCAAAGGGCATTCCGAGTCACTGCAAAAGGTCTGCTGGAGAAAGCGGCACAGAGATGGCGGAGCTAAAGCTCTGGACCAGGGCGAGGAGGAAGGCTGTCACGCACCTCACCTCAGCCCACACGGCCAGGCCAAAATCACCTCTGCATCCGCCTGTACCCGCACTTGAGCCCGGCCCACAGCTCGGCGGTCGGTCCCGCACAGCTCCCCCACCGCCTCGGGACGCGAGCCACCCTCAGCGCTCCCCCCACTACCCTGACGGGCGGGGCCACCCCCCGGG